CGCCTCCCGGGTTCAAGTGATTCTCCTGCCTCAGCTTCCCGAGTAGCTGGGACTACAGGTGCATGCCACTGCACCCGATTAATTTTTATACTTTTAGTAGAGACAGGGTTTCGCCATGTTGGCCAGGCTAGTCTTGAACTCCTGACCTCAGGAGATCCACCTGCCTCAGTCTCCCAAAGTGCTGGGATTACAGGCGTGAGCTACCACGCCCGGCGAATAAGGCTTCTATGAACATTTGTGTGTGAATCTTTGTGTGGTTTGGGCACTTGTTTTCATTCCTTATTGGTAATGACAAGGGCTAGAATTGCTGGGATGTAGGTTAAGCACATGTTCATCTTTGTAAGAGGCTGGGTGCGGTGGCTCACGCCTGTAATCCCAGCACTTTGGGAGGCTGAGGTGGGCGGATCACTTGAGGTCAGGAGTTCGAGATCAGCCTGGCCAACATGGTGAAACCCCATCTCTACTAAAAATACAAAAATTAGCCAGGCGTGGTGGTGGGCACCTGTAATTCCAGCTACTCAGGCACAAGAATCGCTTGAACCAGGAGGCGGAGGTTGCAATGAGCTGAGATAGCGCCACTGCACTACAGCCTGGGTAACAGAGTGAGACTGTGTCTCCAAAAAAACAAAACAAAACAAAAAAACCTGTAAGAAACTGCCAGGCTGTTTTCCAAAGTGGCTGTGGGTTTTTTTTGCATTTCTACCAGCAATGTATCAGAGCTTCGTTGCTCTACATCCTTGCCAACACTTGGTATTTTGGTGGTTTTTAAGATCTAGCCATTCTAGTGGGTGTAAAGCACACATCTCTGCCTCATCTATCCCTTACAGTAACTCTTTGGAGATGGAAACTATTTGTAGTGGATTAAGGATGGCCACAAACTCCTTAATTCCTTCCATGAAGGGGTAGAATCCAGGTTCTCTCCCCTGATTCTGGCTGGGCTGTGTAACTGCTTTGACCAATAAACTACAACAGAAGTGACACTGTGTCACTTTTTACACTCAGGCCTCAAGACATGTGGCAGCTTCCCTCCTGCCCAATGGACTGCTTGCTCTGGGGAGGTCAAACAGCCATGCTACGAGGAAGCCCACGCCAGCCACATGGAGAGCGTGCACGAGGCAAGTTACACCAACCAGCCCCAGCCAGCCCAGCCCAGGTATCAGACAAGTGATGAAGGAGCCAGCTTCCACTCAAATGAGCTGAGTCCTCTGTGCCCTGCTCCAACCCACAGAATAAATGGGTGGTTGTTCTACATCACGAAATTTTCGGGTAGTTTGACACAGCAATAGACAATCAGAACCATTATCTTCATTTTATGGAGGAAAAAATAAAAGGTTCAGAGAGGTAATGTGACGTGTCCATGGCCCCACAGTGGGAGGAATCAGAACGTGAAGTGCCAACAATTGGCATTATATCAAATGTCAAAAGAGGTCCCAGAACAAAGGGGTGAATTTCAGTGACAGGGAGTGATCAGGACAGGCTAGTGGAAGAACTAATAGAGCAGACAGGAAGCTGGACTTTGATTTCTAACAGCCCAATTTTATCAGAAAGGAAGTGGCTTCTCTCTAAACCGTGCAGCCCAGGGCCTGCCTTCTCTCGGACGTGTAAATTGATCAAACAGTGTTTCTGAAGACCGAGGCAGGGACCTGGGGGGACAGTGGTCCATGGTGTGACATCACCTGCCCCTAGAGGACCCTACTCGCCCCTAGAGGACCCTACTCATCCCTAGCTTGGATTTCAAAGCAGCTCTTAAAGAGAAAAAGAGGCCCCAAGCTAGGGCTGATCACTGGACACCTCTCTCTGCAGTCAGGTGGTCCCACAGCACACAGCAAACATACCAGGTAAGCCAAGCGTGAACCTCTAGGGGCCAAGAGGATTTCTAGAATATAAATGGCATCGGCACAGAGTGCCCATGCAGGGGCTGTAAGCTCAAACACCCCCAGGGGTCCCAAAAGCGTCACATATTTGCAGAACTGGCTGGGCACATCCTGTCAACACAGACACATGGGAAGACACTGCTTCCAAACGGATGCATATTCTCTTCCATTTCTTGGAACACGGGATCCTCTTGGTCTGGCTTTATTTTCCCACTTTCAGTAGGGTCAAAAGAACACAGAAACATCATCTATCAAAAATACACAAGCACGTGGCGGCTGTGGAGTCAGGAAGGCTCCCCGGGAGCAGCCGGCACTGCAGCAAGCTGGAAAGCACATTCGCTGCCCACAGCAGGCGGTCACTTGCTTGCCACGTGACATGGTGGCCGACGCTTGCTAGGTAGGAATGAGTACCCCAGGAGGGCCAGATCTTTGCTTTTCTGAGAGAAGCCAGAACTCCAGATTTTTCACATGAAATTCTAAAAATGTCACAAGCTAATGCCTTTTTCCCCCCCGCCCCAGAAACATCAAATTATCTGCAGGCAGGATTGGAGCTGTGGGTCATCTGTGTGTGGCCGCAGGATTAAATCTTTCCATGAAGCATCTCCAGGCTTCGAGTGAGGAGGACCTGCCCGATGCTGCCTGCAATCTTGAGTCTCCTGGCAACACAGACACACACTTCCCACCACAGGAAGCTGCGATGGTTTTTCAGGGCTGGGCCACATGGGTCTCTCTCCACCTGTCCACACGGACTCCTGCCCCCAGCCCTCTTTAGGCTGATGCTGGGTCTCCTTGCACAGAATGCCCACATGGATGACGAGATGGGATTTGAGAACAAAGGTATCCCTGGAGCATCCATCCACACCATCCTCCCAACCTGCCTTCCCTGCCCGCAGCCACGATCCTCCACCCGGTGCCCAGCCACACCACATGCCTGGCCTCCCCACCTTTGCACAGGCTGGTCCCTCTGCCTGAATGCCCTCCTTCCCAATCTGTTGAATTCTTTGTTTCTCCTTCCAGTCCCAGATTCATTACCACCTGTTCTACAAAGCCTTCCCAATTTCCTAGGCAGGACTTAACACCCTGGCTCTGGAATCCCTTCACACCTTGACCTTACCTTCACGACAGCACTGTAGCATAGGATGGCACCAACTGGTACCCAAATCAGCCTCCCCACATACACTGGGGCTTGGTGGGGATGGAGATGGACTGAACTGTCTCTGCCTAGTCAAGCTTATCACGGAGCCCGTTCCTGGGAAAGTGCCCAATACAGCCAGGCGTGGTGGCTCATGCCTATAATCAATCCCAGCACTTTGGGAGGCTGAGGCGGGAGGATCGCTTGAGGCTAGGAGTTCGAGACCAGCCTGATCAACATGGTAAAACCCCATCTCTACTAAAAAATACAAAAATTAGCCGGGCATGGTGGCGCATGTTTGTAATCCCAGCTACTCGGGAGGCTGAGGCAGGAGAATCACTTGAACCCGGGAGGCAGAGGTTGCAGTGAGCTGAGATCGCATCATTGCACTCCACCCTGGGGGACAGAGCGAGACTCTGTCTCGAAAGGAAGGAAGGAAGAAAGGAAAGGAGGGAGGGAGGGAAGGAGGGAAAGACAGACAGAAAGAGAGAAAGAATGAGAGAGAGAGAGAGAGCAAGCCCAATGCATGGTGGTAAAGAAAGGACAATCCAGGCTATTAAAAGCCTGTCTTGTTACTTGGCTCCCACCTGGACCCACATCTGAACATAAAACTTGACTCAAGAGAAGAAACCACATAGTTCCTCTTGGGATTTCCGCTGTGACCCTAGAAGTTGGGCTGAGGTCTGCTGAATATATAGGGATGACTCAGTGCCTGCTGTCTAGGGTGGCTTTGTGCCGGGCACAAAGGAAGGTGTTCAATGAACACCTGGGGCTGCTGTTACTGTTACTCCCTTGGGTTCTCACAAACACTCTCAGGGTCCAGACACAGTGCTTCTCAGGGACACAAACGCATACCACTGGGTCCAGGTGGGCAGGCTTCCTCCATTCCGGGGAGACACAGGGCCTGGTCACAACATGGAGCACTTTGGGCCTCCAGGCAGACACCTCAAGCCCAGGTTACTGGTTTGCCTCTAACAAGCTTGGGAGCTTCTAGAAAATTCTATCAATGCTCCTGGGGGCTCCTCACCTGGCTGGCAGCAATCCTGGGAACACTGGGATCTAGAAACAATTTTTCTTTTCTTTTCTCTTTCTCTTTTTTTTTTTTTTTTTGAGACACAATCTTGATCTATCACCCAGGCTGGAGTGCAGTGGTGCAATCTCAGCTCACTGCAACCTCCTTCTTTTGGGTTCAAGCAATTCTCCTGCCTCAGCCTCCTGAGTAGCTGAGATGACAGGTGCCTGCAACCACACCAGCTAATTTTTGTATTTTTGGTAGAGTCAGGGTTTCACCATGTTGGTCAGGCTGGTCTTGAACTCCTGACCTCAGGTGATCTGCCCGCCTCGGCCTCCCAAAGTGCTGGGATTAAAGGTGTGAGCCACTGCGCCCAGCCTCTAGAGGCAATTTCTAGAGACTCTGGCTTGGGAGGCCTTGTCTTCTGGGCCATTGTCTTCCATCTTCCGCCTCAATCGGGCTAGATTTGGGCCAACCAGGCAGAGTAGGAGGTAAAAGCAGAGAGAACAGAAAGATTCAGGAAGGAACTCAATGCCCAACTCCACCGCGGGCTGTGGCCCGGGCAAGAGGCTCCTCCTAGGCCTCACAGGCCTGAAGCCATTTCCTGGCTGTCTCCATGTTTGCACAGGGGATGGTGCAGAGCTGAGGAAAGTTAAATATAGTCTAGTGTCCCCGCTGAACGGCTCCCTGCATCGGTGCCCGAGAGTGCCACCTTGTGGTCCACTTCTGGCTCCTCTGCGGAATAAAAACCATCTCGGGGGAAAGACGAGATCAAGATGGCCGCCTCAGGAAGCACTTGGGGTTGAGAGAGAGAGAGAAGGGAGTGTTTGCACGTGGTTTTCCTCTCAGCGCTGGCTGCTGCCCCATTCCTTCTGGTTGCTAACTCACCACCAAAATGGCTTCCCCAGAAAACTCCAAAACTCCAGGAAGGGCCCGAAGTCTGGCCTGGGCCTAAATCCATGCCTCCCAGGAAGCCACTCACCAGGTCAGCCAGGCTGCAAAACTCTTCCAGCCTGAGGAGCATGCCCTCGATGGTCTCCTCCACCTCCTTCGCCTGAAAAAGAGACGACATCCTGGAGATTAGCAAGTGGTTTCCAGGGAGACAAACACCCTTCATTTTTTTTTTTTTTTTTTTAAAGCAAACTAAGTCTTAGGATTATGTGCCCAGTTCCTGCTCGACCCCCTTCCACTGCCTCCTTTGAAAGAGCAATAAACGGGCAGCAGTCCTGGCACCCATCACAGAGGACTGGTTAAAGCCACCATGGCCTCTCCATTCTACACAGCTTTCAAAAGAGACAAGATCAACAAATACAGGAAATAAGCTACCCTTACCCTCCACATTGTACAGATGAGGCTCAGAGAGATGGGGTAGCCTACTCAAGATCACAAGGTTAACAAACAGCGCGGGGCAAGAATCCTAATCCAGATGGAGTCCGCAGCCTCACAGCCTGCTCTAATAAACACAGTGGCCCCGGCGATACCCCAGAGAGGAAAAGCAAGCTGCAGACAGTGCCAGATACAAACCATACCAAATAATGTCTGAGGCGGGCAGATCACCTGAGGTCAGGATTTTGAGACCAGCCTGACCAACATGGTGAAACGCCATCTCTACTAAAAATACAAAAATTAGCCAGGCATGGTGGTATGTGCCCATAGTCACAGGCTGAGGCTGGAGAATCACTTGAACCTGGGAGGCAGAGGCTGCAGTGAGCCGAGATCCCAGCACTGCACTCCAGCCTGGGCAACAGAGCGAGACTCCATCTCAAAAAAAAAAAAAAAGTACCTGTCTCCACAGAGAAAGGCCTGGAATGATATGTGCCAAACTGCTAATAGTTAAGAGATGTGCTTATACTAAAAAAATTTTTTGTTGTTTATCTGAAATTCACATTCAACTGGGTGTCCCATAGTTTCTTTGGAAACCCTATTAATAGGGCTTACTTAGCCCTGGGCAGGAGGAGTTGGGAAAGGGACTCTGACAAGGGAAACTTGAATTTTTTATGTTAGGTAAAGGGTCCGTGGCCAGGAGCAGTGGCTCATGCCTGTAGTCCCAACATTTTGGGAGGCCAAGGCAGGAAGATCACTGAAGTCCAGGAATTCGAGACCAGTCTGGGCAACATGGTGAGGTTCCGTCCCTTTAAAAAAAAAAAAAAAAATTTGGCCGGGTGCAGTGGCTCACACCTGTAATCCCAGCACTTTGGGAGGCTGAGGCGGATGGATCACGGGGTCAGGAGATCGAGACCATCCTAGCCAACATGGTAAAACCCCGTCTCTACTAAAAATATGAAAATTAGCCAAGTGTGGTGCACCCCTGTAGTCCCAGCTACTCAGGAGGCTAAGGCAGGACAATCTCTTGAACCTGGGAGGTGGAGGCTGCAGTGAGCCACTGCACTCCAGCCTGGGCAACACAACGAGATTCCATCTCAAAAAAATAAAAATAAAAAAATTAGCCAGGCATGGTGGTGCATGTCTGTAGTCCCAGCTACCCAGGAGGCTGAGGCTGCAGTGAGCAGTGATCGTACCACTGCACTCCAGGCTGGGCGACAGAGTGAGAACTTGTCTTTTTTTTTTTTTTTTTTTTGAGACAGAGTCTTGCTCTGTCGCCCAGGCTGGAGCGCAGTGGCCGGATCTCGGCTCACTGCAAGCTCCACCTCCCGGGTTTACGCCATTCTCCTGCCTCAGCCTCCCGAGTAGCTGGGACTACAGGCGCCCGCCACCTCGCCCGGCTAGTTTTTTGTATTTTTTAGTAGAGACGGGGTTTCACTGTGTTAGCCAGGATGGTCTCGATCTCCTGACCTCGTGATCCGCCCGTCTCGGCCTCCCAAAGTGCTGGGATTACAGGCTTGAGCCACCGCGCCCGGCCGAGAACTTGTCTTTAAAAAAAAGAGAAGAAGAAAAAACACCCAGTCATCAGGCCGGACATTAAAATACATGAGTGAAGCAGGCCATCGGGCTTGTGGTGATCTCAGAGGTGCTCATCCAGTCCTCCAGCTGCTGGCCACTAGCCGCCATCAGGAAACGCAGGCCCAGAGCTACCAGATCTTCCATTTTCTAAGAGAAGCCAGAAATCCTAATTTGATAGGAAATGCCCCAATGTTTAAACATGGGAACACATTAAAAGAAAACCCTTTAATGCTCCATAAATGAAGCCAATCACAAACGTGCAAAGGGTCTGCCAGTGTACAACTGCTTCATGCGCTTGTGTAAAAATTAGGGAAATAATTAGGGGTTTGGCCAGGTGTAGTGGCTCACGCCCGTAATCCCAACACTTTGGGAGGCCAAGGCAGGCCAATCATCCGAGGGTAGGAGTTTGAGACCAGCCTGACCAACATGGCGAAACCCCGTCTCTACTAAAAATACAAAACTTAACCGGAAGCGATGGCATGCGTCTGTAGTCCCAGCTACTCAGGAGGCTGAGGCAAGAGGACTACTTGAACCCGGAAGGAGGAGGTTGCAGTGAGCCGAGATCGTGCCACTGTACTCCAGCCTGGGTGACAGAGCAAGACCTGTCTTAAAAAAAAAAAAAAAGTTAGGGTTTTTTTCCCCCCAAGTATCTACTACTTTTACGACTTCTAAAATACCAGTTTCTGTTGTTATTTTTGTAATGGCCAGCATGCAGGAAGAAAGTTCACCCAGCACATGATCTGCTTTCCCTACCAGGCCACACCATCCTGCTCCAGGGAGGTGTGTTCAGGGTTTCTGGGCAGGCCTCGTCCCTGCCTCCTGCACCTGAAGGCTCCCTCACCACCCACTTGTCCCCAGAGAACTGTTTATATAGCACCAGTTCCTGCTGCTTCCAGCATGAGCCATCTCCACCACAACAAAATAAACGACTGCGCAAAAAAACATCTTTCAGGCTGGAGTATAAATAGTACCAAGTTGCAATTTTAAACTCTGCAACCTTCATCTCACAGCTGGGACTATTTCTGTGCCTCAGTGCGGGAGAGGGGAGAGAAGACTCGGAAAAAGAAAGATCATCCCCTCACCCAACCCCCAAATTCAATTACAATGAGAAAATGTCATTATCGCACTAAGGGAGAAAGGATGGAGCCAAGAGGTCACTGTGGTGGGAGGAGAAGGTTGGTGGTTCTTTCTGATCCAGGGGAAAGAGAGGAGTGGGGCACAGCGGGTGATGGAGAGATCCTGGGGGTGCAGGTGCTCTTAACACAGACCTGGGTCCAGACGCGCTTAAGAACACACAACCTGCATGGGAGGCCACGGAAGCCCACGCCCCAGCTGGGTGGGATGCCTCCTTCCCAAGATGTGTCTGCAGTGCTGTGCTTGTAGGAAGCGCATCGCAACCCATCCTGGCCCGCTCAGGAAGGGCATGGCGTGGTCACGGCACTGCTGGGTTCACCTTACCCTCTGCCAGTCATGCAGCTGGAACCCAATGGCTTAACCTCTGCATTTCACTGCTGCTGGATCCCCTGTGACAGGAACCATCATGCCCGTTTGGCAGAATGCTCAGGAGGTTAACCTGACATCATAGATGTGGTTAACAGAGTGCTGACACACAATAGGTGCATGATAAGGGGTTGCTTTCCATAGCTCGATTTCTCTCTTTTTTGTATTTTAATTTTTGTAGAGACAGGGGTCTCACTATGTTGCCCAGGCTGGTCTCAAGCTCCTGGCCTCATGCAATCCTCCTGCCTCAGCCTCCCAAAGTGCTGAGATTATAGGCATGAGCCACTGCACCCACCCCATCTCTTTTACCATAGAATAAAAACAAGGACTAGACACTGTATTTGAATTACTTCATTTACTTCTCACAAGAACCCTATGCAGTAGGTGCTACTATTTCCCTCTTTTTATGGATTGAGAAACAGAGGATCAGAGAGGTTAAGTCCCTTGCTCAAGCTCACACAGCTAATAAATATTGAAGCCAGAATTTGACCCTGAGCACTCTAACTCCAGAGCTAGAATGTGTAATAAGATGTTCTTTGGGGCTGGGTACAGTGGCTCACGGCTGTAATCTCAACACTGGGAGGCTGAGGCCAGAGGATTGCTTGAGCCCAGGAGTTCCAGTCCAGCTTAGGCAACAGGGGGAAAGTTTGTCTCTCTAAAAATAAAAAGAAAACTAGCTGGGCATGGTGGTGCACACCTGTGTGGTCTCGGCTACTTGAGAGGCAGAGGTGGGAGGGTCACTTGGGCCTAGGAGGTTGAGGCTACAGTGAGCTGTGATGCGTCACTGCACTCCTGGGTGACAGAGCGAGATCATCTCAAAACAAAAACAAGATGCTGTTGGGGGAGGTTAGAAATGTGTCCCCTTCATTGCTGCTTGTCAGCTATGGTCAGTCCTCCACCTCACTCCCTAGTACCTAGGGAGGTTCCCAAAAGCAGGAGGGAGCAAAGTGAGCATTTGCCGACTGTCTGGTCAGCAAAGGGAGAAACAAGCCCGACCAACCAACAGGAAGAAACATTCCCAACCAACAGGAAGGCGCTCAGGATAAGCCAGCCCACCATGCCCACAAATCGTCCATGGGGCAATTTTCTCTCAAGATTATCCCCTAAGTGGCCTCAGAAATGAGAGTCCCGCAGGCTGCAGCCCACGTGCCTTTTTAACCAGCCTGTGAGCCGATGAATGCCCTCGCTGTTCTCTGCAGCCCCCGGGCCTAAACTGCTCCACTCAGAGGGGAAGGAGGCGAGAGGCTCACTTTAAGTGACATTCAAGGAAGGACCAGTGGAGATGGTGAGTGTTGTTTTTTTTTTAAACAAACACCTGCAAATCATGGTTTTCACTGTCTTTTCCCACATCCCCCCTTCTCACAAAGTGGCAGTGCAAACTTCCCAGCTGGGAATGCCCAGACTTTGAAGAGGGGCTGGCCCTGCTCACCGAGGGGCTGGCCCTGCTCTCCAAGGGGCTGGAACATAAAAAAAAAAAAAAAAAAAACCAAAAAGGTCCCCACCCATTATCTTCTCTAACTCAACAAATGGAAACTCCATCGTCCCCTTGCTCAGGCCAAATACTTCAGAGCACTCTCAACTCTTCTCTCCCACCTCCCACCCCAACCAATCTGCCAGCAAATCCTCTCAGTTCTACCTTCAAAATGTCTCTAC